TTCCTTCCTTCCTTTCTTCTCTCTCTCTCTCTCTCTCTCTCTCTCTCTCTCTCTCTCTCTCTCTCTCTCTCTAGTACATGCCAGCTGACCTTGAACTTGCTATGTAGCTGAAGATAGCCTTGAACTCTTTGTCCTCTTGCCTCTACCTCCCTGGTGCAGGGATTATGGATATGCAACAACATTCCTGGTTCATGCAGTGCTGGGCATTGAACCCACAGTTTCGTGCATGCTGGGCAAGCATTAGACCAACTGAGTCATATCCACAGTCCCCTAATTCTCATTTCTAACTTCTCTACCTTCCAGCAAGTTTTTTCTTCCCACAATTCTTGGTCTGTGCTGGTGTCTTACTGGGGAAATTCCCACCTGGTTGGAAACTATAGTTACAGAGGTCCTGGCCACTCCCAATGAGACAATTCCCATCTTGGTTTCCCCAGAGTAACTAACTAGAAACTCAGCCCAGACCACCAACCAACACATTTTTCTTCTTGGTTCTTCACTTTCTAAGCTACTGGAGGGTCTGACAAATGAATCCTGCCTTTCCTACAGCCTGGGCTCCTTAATGGGGACAGAAGACCCTGCCCCCTGCTGGCTCCACTTCTTTCCTGTGACTCTAGCTGGCTTTCCTCCCTAGTGTTGATTCCATCATTGTGGAAGTTGCCTAGCTTCATGAATTCTCTCATGACTTCTGCTCAGTTGCTGTGTTGATGATCTCTTTGCCTTCTCAATATTCTCATGATTCTCTATCCATAAAACCCGGCAATTTCTCTCTGTGTGCTTAAGAATGGGCCTTTTCAGGAAGGCTAGTGCTTCACCATACTCTGCTCACAGACACTGGGGGAGAGGGGCAGGCTCATTCCCCTATCACAGCAAGAATATCCCAATTCACATCCATCTTTCCACCTGACAGGCAGCTACCCGAGAAGTCTCACCTGTGGCAAAAGGTTGCTTTTACTTCTGCTGGGTGTGTGGCCAGGCAGCCGGATATCGAAGAGGGCCTGTAAGGCAGCTTGTGCTGCCTGGCCCTTGGCCAGCTTCTTGCTGCGTCCAGAGCCTTCGAACGTCCTCCCGTCCACGCACACAGCCATGACAAAACTCTTGACTCGGGGCTTCTCGGCTGTTTCCGAGAGGCACACATACCGCAGACCTGAGCGTAACTCATTCAGCACCACTACAGGGTTCCTCTCACCCAGGGCCCCGGGGGCCAGCCTGGACCTGTCAGGCAGAGCCTGGCCCATGAGGTCCAGTGTGTGGTAGAGTAGCCGTCCTCGCCGGTAGGCAGAGGACAGAAATTCAGTGTCGACGGGACCACAGCCTGGGAAGTCCTCATTTCTTGAGGATGGTTCAAACTCCTTGAACAACGTGTCTGGGAAGTCGGCCTGGTCAGAGGTGAAGTCAGTGCATGAACTGGTACTAGTGCCCATGGCCAGGTGGGCCTGGAATGCATTGGGGAACTGCACGAAGGACTTCAGGGCCATCTCGGCTGCCCGCATCTTGGCTTTCTTCTTAGTGGGCCCCGTGCCTTCAAACGTGAGCCCGTTCACTTCTACAGCCACCGCAAAGACTGGGGCGTGTACTGGGCCCGTTTGTGACACCATCCGGTACTGCAGACCTGGCTTCAGCTCATGCAGCTGGACCAGCGCATTCTTGGGTGTCATAGACCAGGAGAGCTTCTTCCAGATCAGCTGGAGTTTGCAGAAATGCCCTGCATTTCCTTCCTCCAGTGGCCTTTTCCTTTTAATGCTGGGCGTGCTGCCTCTGGCCCAGTCTCCAGGGGGTAGGGGCCTAGTCCCCAGGTTGCTCACGTTTCGGTTTTCCTTCACTTCAGCACTGCTGGTACCTGGAGGTGAGAACAAATTAGTCATGACCCAGGGCACTGGCAGGTCACCACTAATGATAAAAACTGTTGCTAATGATGGCTCTGTAAGGCTGGGAATCCAGGATCATGGCTTTCTGGCCATCAGCACCTTCAGCCGGGTCTGGAGAAGGTGCTGTAATGACTTCTGCAAGACACAGGGGAGAAGCAGCAGTGGGGACTAGTTGTCTATGGGGGAAATGCCTCCATCATTGGGCAGTTCTCAAAAAGCCAGGCTTGAAAAGATGTGAGGAAGAGACAGGCAAGGGATGTGTCCTATGTGTGGTCTCACACTCCGTTGATTGTATGAGCTATGCTGTTGTCACCCATAAGTGCCTAACTCCTCAGCACCCACATTATCTCTCAAAATCAAATAGATTTTTGATTAGATAGGTAGATAGGTAGCCCTGCCTATGTATGGTTTGGGACAACAGCAGAGGTTACAACGGCTTTTCTTGCATTGATGAGTGCCTTCCTTCTTTACATGCTGCTGGGGCCATAAGGAGTGGTGATTGATGCTTTTGATGCCCTTAGCACTGAAGAGCAGGGTGTAGGGCTTTGTTGAGGCCATACTCTTTTATATCAAGCTCAATAGAGTTTCTCAAAACTCTGCCTCCCAATTCACATCTGGAAGTGAGAAACGTATCACCTGAGACCTGCATAGAGCAGACAGCTAGGAACCAATCAAATGGAGGTGCAGCTGCCTTTCCTAAACACCTGCATGCCACCTGTGTATGTCAATACAGTTGCTGGGTCTCAGTCATGCTGATTGTTTATAGAGCTGAGAGTCTGAGGGCCCCACAGGGTCCTGAGCATCCAGCCCCATGCTAGATTAGACAACACCCAGGGAGCCATCAAAAGCCACAGGTGCCGAGATGTGGCTTTGATTCTTCATCTGAATGTGGTTCTTGGACTTCTGTTTCACAATCTCCTGGGACTTCTTAACAAAGAGCACCTACTACAAGTTCTTTGTCCTTATAAATAAAAATACCACACATTGACATATCAAGGTAGGAAATGGTTCTAAATGAACCATATGGTTCAGCTCCAAATCTGGGACTCTACTTCCCCTACAGAACAGCAGGAATCCTTGGATTACTCTTCTGATAGCCTTCCCACCTTAGCCAGGCAAACATGTAAAACAGACCAAGATGCTAACATGTTTCTAAAGACATGAACCCACAGATCAGTGGGAATGAACACTGGCACAATTCCACTGCAAAAAAAAATTTAGGGACACCCACCGACAACCAAGAAACACTACCTACGCAGTAATATGTCATTAGGGACACATCATAGAACTGAGACTAGTAAAGATGTTCATTGTAGCATAACTTTTTAAAGCTGAGAGTGTAGGAAATACCTAACTTCCCACATCTAGAGGAATGGTTAAGTTGTAGTAGAATCAAACAGCAAAATGACATACAACAATTATATCTTAATGGACTCTATATGCTTCAACATAAATAAATCTCATCAACATAATGTTAGATGACAAAATGAACTTGCAAAATAATCCATTGAGTAGGATAGACATCAAAAGTATACTCACAGGACATATTATTTATGTAAACAGACATGAAGGAACAGAAGACAGTTATATCATAAAGACATATTCCCATCTCCCAGAGGGGTTGGAGGGAAGGGAGGAAAAGAAATAAGGGGCCAAAGAACAACTTCATTTGTACTTCTAACATTTTCTTTCTTTTTAAAAAAATTACACTCTGTGTGTGTATGTGTGTGTGTGTGTTTGTGTGTGTGTTTGTATACACACCATGGCACACATTTGGAGGTCAGAGAACAGCTTGCAGGAGTCGGTTCTCTATTTCCACCATGGGGGTCCCAAGGATTGAATATGGGTCGTCAGGCTTGGTGGCAAGCGCCTTTACCACCTGAACCATTTTGTTGATCCGACATTTCCTATCCTTAAACTGACATAAAGTAAGTTCAGCAAAACCATCACTTGCACACATACACATACAAACACTCACTCACACAGGTCCTGGGGCTGATCTGGCTGGGCAGAACTATGCCCAGGTTTCTCTGTGTGCCTTGAACATCTTCTCAGGGCCCGGGAGCTCTCATCTCTGTGGCAGGTGCGAATGTGCTTTTTTCTCTCATTAAACAAGTGGAAACTCCAAGTAAATTTTCCCGTGAACTCACAACCTCAAAACAGACACTGAAAGCCTGGCTGGCTGTTGACATGTGAACCTGCTTCTCTTGTGCAGCCTGAGAGCTACTTATATATAACTATAACTTATAACTGAGTGGAGATGAATTTAAAGGTGATTTAAGACTAGCCACCTTGGATAACTATTCTCTAATAAAGTTGTCCTGTTTAGGAAATCCCAGTTGTGAACTGCCACATGACCACATGGCCCCTGCTGCACTTTGCTAGCGTGTGTGCTTCTAGAATGCCAAACTCTCAAGTTTATTATAAAAACCCAAGGATTATGCCTGTGAACAGCCTGCCATCTTCTGCTGATCCCTGCCAGCGTTTATGTATTCTATTGAGAACCTAACTTTGCTATATTTCTTTTTCCTTAGTCCTTGGCTAGTGGCTAATAGTATGGTCAACATTTTATAAGCAGGCAGGGGGAAACTGAAACTCAAGGAGTTGAAATAATTTGTTTACAGAGATTGCATGCTATGTTGTATTCATGATGGGCCTCAATCCTTGGGCTCTCACACTCCTCTCATCTGTGCAGTGGCTATAAGTTGATTTTATGGACACAGAATGATTGTGACATTTTCTTGGCCTTTGTAGATTAACACCCCTCCCCAGGCCATCTGGATATAATGAAGCCAAGTCTACCCCATGTGTGATGAGTCCTGGGGCTGATCTGGCTGGGCAGAACCATGCTCAGGTTGCTCTGTGCACCTTGCACATCTTCTCAGGGGCTGGGAGCTCTCAGCTCTGTGGCAGGTGTGAATTTTTTTTTCTCATTAAGCAAGTGGAAACTCCAGGTGAATTTTCCAGTGAATCCACAGCTTCAAAACAGACACTGAATGCCTGGCTGGCTGTTGACACGTGAACCTGCTTCTCTTGTGCAGCCTGAGAGCTACGTAGGTTGAGACCTGCCAGAATGGCTGCTGTGCTCCTAACCCCTCAGTTTATGGCATTGTTGTTGGGGAATAATGAAGAAGAAAGTACAATTTCACAGCCACAAAGGATGCCTTTGAAAATCAGGTGCCTTTCAGAGGTATCCCAACATGGGAGAATGTTCTTTTCAGCATGTACTCTACCTCCTCTTCGCTCAGAGCTAACCCATCAGTCATAGCTATCATCATGTCTTTATAAAGGAGCCAAAACAGCCCTTGCTAGAACGCTCCAGTGGGGGGCACTGGGCACTGCATTAAAACCCAGCTCAGCTTTTCAGTTTAATTTTATAAATTGTGAAATGGGCTTACTACTATCTCTATCAGTTTGCTACTAAAAAGCTATTAGGCTTGGGGAGGTTAGTTTGTTCAAAAGTGTGAATCTGAGTGCTTTCTAAGTTATAACCTTGCAACACTCATTTGTTACGGATCTCGGCAAAAATAATTACCTTTTAGATAGCAAGTGCTAAGTCTTAGGTGTTTGTGTTAATCGTTGTGTGCTCTGGGTGTGCACACTGCAATGGACCCTGCCATTTAGGGTATTTCAAGCCAAGGGAAAGTGCACGTTAGATTAAACCATGTGATTTTCCCAAGCTGAACTCAAAATGGAAAAATAAAGAGCAAACAAAACAATTCCCAAATCCCCACATCAGATTGCCTAGAAACCAGCTTGGAGCCTTCTAATTTCTTATTGATTTCTTACAATGTGGGGATTTAATAAGCGTGCCAGTGTGATTATGGTGGACAGCATATCAGATGACCTCTGCTGTATCTTAGAGAATCGAACTCAGAAAATAATGTTTTTGTTCTGCACATGGTGAAATCCTTTTTATTTGCTTCCCTTCTGTAATTCTCAATATCTTACTACTGTTGTAATTGGAACTCTTCATATAAACTTTGATTATTAGACCATGGTGTGAGTTCCTTTGTTTTCGTGTGTGTGTGTGTGTGTGTGTGTGTGTGTGTGTGTGTGTGTGTGTGTGTTTTCACTTGTGGGCATGTTTGTGTATGTGTACATGTGCTTGTGTGTGTATGTGGAAGTGTGGAGACAAAAGGTTGATGTTGTGTGTCCTCTCATCTTGAGACAGGGTCTCCAACTGAACATGGAGCTTGCCAAGTAGGCTAGGCTGGCTGGCCGGAAAGCCCTAGATCTTCCTGTTTCTGTCTCCCCAGCACTGGGATTACAGGTGCTCCCAGTAGACCACTTGTCACCTGGGTGCTGGTGTTTGTGCTTGTGAAGTAAGCATAACCATATGAACTATCTGTCAGCTTCTATGAACTCCTTTATTCATAATCAATAATTAGCAGCAGTTGATTAAAAACTACAGACGTTGGTCCCTATCTTAGACACAAGTTAGACTCTCTGGGATGACATTACCTATGGTAATATTACCAATGCAAAATGTGTTGGTTAACTGATTCTCAGAGTTTAGCAAGTGCTTCAGAGCCTATCTAGACTTAGGCTGGGGTCTCTGTCCTGGGACCCTTAGAACAACAGGCCGTTCAGTGCCCAATTCACAGAGTCTAGAGTCAAGCATGTGAGAGATCAAATGATGCCTTTGTTGTTTATGCTTATTGGAATTTTAGATCATTCTGTGTTAGCTTCATTTCTCTAAATGGCAGAAAATGAAGATTTTACTTATATTTGCTTTATCAGTTGAGTACAAGTGAATCTACGAATCTATCTATCTATCTATCTATCTATCTATCTATCTATCTATCTATCTATCTATCTATCATCTGCCTATCAGGCTTAGCAAAAAGATGACCACAGGGGCAGGTGGGAAGTGCAGCAGGGAGGCAGTGCAGGACCCCCTACTTCTATCCATGTTCAGCTTCTCTTCATGACTATTTTATTAGCTGGTGTTTTCCATCAATATACCTAG